CATCATATTACGATTGTGGCTGAATGGAATTACTTGTGCAAAGAAAAATACATTCTAGGACTGGCATCAAAAAGCTAAATGAAAAAGGGGACAATTCAAGAAAGTTAGCATGTGGTTGTCACAAGAAAGTTACTCAATATTTACGCTATAATTCGAAACTGTCTACAAGAAATTTGGTGATTAAATTGACAAACAATGTCATGAAAGTATCTCATATGACTATTTTAAGACTTTCTGCAAGATAGGGTTACAAGAACAGTCTGCCCCTATGCTTACTGTTGCTCATAAAGAAACTCGTGTTAGTTAGGCAACCAGACATTTCAATGATAATTGAGAAACTACATTATTTTCTGATGAAATTACCTTTCAGTTATTCAGAATATAAGGGCACAGCAGATTCCTAAATATCGCACTAAATTTTCGCATGGGGAGGATTTTATATAAGCGGAAATACTTCTCTATTTTGCTTTAGTATTAGAAACGATGGATGCGACGTTATGTTGATATTTTGCACAATCGTAGCAAGAAATCAACCAACTTTTTAGAAATAATTGGCGCTTCCAGTAAGATGCCGAATCAGTCAAACTTTTTGCAATCGAGACATAATGACCTGAACGTAAGTTATGGCATTTCTTAGCGAAAAATTTCGGACTTAACCAATCGAAAATCTTCAAAAGAAATGTAGAAATACGTATGCCTAAAATCTTTCAGAATTAAAGCAGTAATGGCAGAAAAATGGGATAGAGTTCCGAATAGCGTTCTAATTAACCGTATCGGATCAATGAGGAGATGTGAGGTACAATAGAAACAACGGTGAAAGAATAAATTATTAATTTGATATCGATAAAATCTTAAGTTTGTGCAGTTTTGAGTAACACGCTGTAGATCTACAAATCAATTTATTGACCACTATTATTTGATAACAAGAGTTAGAACATTTGCAAGCCGGACAGCCTGCATATTTATTTTGTACCTTTTAATCCAAAAATAATTTAAATGTTTTTCGGACTTAAATTCTACTCTATCTCAGTACCGCAGAAGTCACTTGATCAAATCGCTGTTCCCCTCTTTAATAGCGTCGAGTGATTTCAAACTGTAGCAGTTTGCTCTTCGGCTCCCAGCTCTAGACTACACTTTAAGTCCTCTACTCTATTAGAACTAATATAAGTATGCCTGTTATAAGATAAACTAATATTTAAATACGAGTCACATGACTCTAAATTTATGTCTATGTTGCTGCCTCAACGCCGTTTAATATTGGCTGCAGTCATCTATTCAATTATGGGTTTGCTGCGTTCTTTACCATCGCACTTTCTTCAGTGTTATATGATTTGCATCAGGTCTCTGAAGGTTAGGTCTGGTCTGGATTGTTGCCGCATCTTTTCAGCAAAAAAGATTTTAATTCGCATTGTGGTAGCAGGTCGGTAATTGGTCAAAATACATGTTAGTTCGCTCGGTTATTGAAGGAGAAGTTGTAATCCTCTAATATTAGGATTGGCGTTGACGAATACGTTGAGTAGGCGATTAGGACGTTGACAAAGTAATGAAGCATTACTATTTTGTTAATATAGTCAGAAGCAATCCGAGTTGTGAGCGAGTTGTCAAGTAGTGGGAAGAACGGGATCACGTGTCGGGATACTTTTTGAAATCGAGGAAGTGACCGTATGTAACTTCTAAGTGTATAATAGATATTATAATAGTTAGTTTGCCTATTCGTGAAGACGAAAAGATGCCTTTTGCTAAAAAGATGTCGATGTGTGAATAACGTACAATAAATCTATTCGGTGCAATATACGTTAATAATGGAGAAGCGAATTTGTGTGCGTTGTGTAGTCAGGGAGGGCGTTCTTGCGCAAACTCTTCGTCGGTTATGTGGTCGATAACCGTGTTTTATTGACTGTTAAGGGTTCATTGTTTGAGTCTTGTTCGTAAGTTGTGGTAAACTGTCATTATGTGCGTAATATGGTAGCGGCAAAGGTTTGTTGCGTTGTATATTTAAGTATATGTATGAGTAAACGCGTGTTCGCGTGTTCGCGTGTTAGATAACGTAAGATGACACATATTGGTAGTACTTGATATTATTAATTGCTGTCGTACCGCCCTTATAAATACTGTTATCTACGCAGTAAGGAGCGTGAGAGTTTGCGACTGTCAACCAATAGTAAAGCATAAACGGGTATCAATTTATTGCCTAGTGCAACACATCAGTGCGATTGTCACAATATTATAGTAACACATTTCGGAGTACACGCAGTAAAATATCATCACTGGTTAATAAGTCAGATAAGTCCCGCGTATAATTTTAATTAACGTGCCGCATGACTATCGACACCTGGGATTTAACTTTTTTTTCAATGGAATTGTGGCTACTCCCACTCACTAAGTTAAGTATAACGACAGTTAATGACCTTTCAGACGCCAATTCAATCGATAAATACGTCTTCGAGTGATTCACTACTATTACCTCTGTGGCGTTCGTATAATTCTCAACTTTTTTGTGACCGGGATCTTACGGTTCCAAATGCGTTTTTGACTGCTGTTTCACAGCCGCTTTTTGACGAAAAATTGTTACTTGTGATTACACCAGCAGTTTTGAAGTTCACATATCTTACTTGTACTATTAATCTATTACTTATATAATAATAATATAATTATTGGACCTTAAAATGCCCTGCCTTTTTTGCTGTAAATTACAGGTTACGAAATTGCTGAGTAGATTCGATATTGTCCATTAAATCTTGAGATTGACTGACACATAATAAACGCGGTTTACTTTGGAGTATAATCATTCCCCGACGTCCTACGGACCATCGAAATCAATCCCATCGATAGAGTTATAACGAGAATTTGCGTATACAAGACTGAACGTACGAATTTAAAAGTCACTAACTGTATTAGTGATGTAGATGTTAGTCAATCCTCGATTGAAAGACCAATTACTGAACGCTCTCCCGCGGTAGTTGGCTCGACATAGGGATTAGTGGAGTGGTTCACAGCTATATCGATAAACGAATCAGCATTAACGTACTGTAGATAGACCACTTGTTTATTAGAAAGGCATATTAATTGAACATTAAGGACATGATGAAATCTCAGTCGCGCTTTTAATCGAGTTGCCATTTAAAGTTAATGTGTGCAACTTCCAGTACGACTAAAGTCGATTTGAAGTATATATTGGGTTTAAAGACATAATATTATATTGTGCTAAGTGTTATAACATAACTTCAAATAAAAGTTATCTTAATCAAGTTGAATGTGAATTACATTTTGGTGTGATATAATGTAAAAAATATAAACAAATACACTAACAATCAATACGTCAATAATCGGATTTGTTAAATTTTAGCCATCAATGTAAATGTAGTCAAGTAAAACAGTTATACACATTACATATACAGTTGCACCCACCACATTCCTCTTTATTGCAATTCTCTTTAACTTGATGATTTCCATTTCATTGTCTCTATTAAAATGTTAATACTAATACCAATTGTTGTATAATTATAATAACAACCATCGGGTTGGTTGAATGATTATTCCCAAATTCGTGGTAAAATGAAAAAGATGTCATGTCCCTAATATGTACTGGTTAGTATTTGTGGCTGTGATAGATCAATAAATCATGTGGTGGATTTCCAACAATACATGGGCAAATGACCCCCTGAAATTTCTCGTGGCGTTTTTCACTTTGTCACATGCGTAAACGAACAGAGCAACGATCAGCCCAATGTTGAAAACGCAATGACAACATAACGCACAAATACGGAGAAGAGGAAGTTTGCGAGATCATAAAGAAGGTTAAAATACTGATCACCAGGTCGCTTGTTATGGAAGGTTTCATGTTATCTGAGAAAATAGAAGCGGATTTGTTAACTCTATCGTAGATAGTCGACATACATGCATATTCTCAGTGCATACTCGGCACATGCAATCCAAGCATACGGCATTTATCCACAATATAATACAGTATAGTATAATGCCCGCATTTTTAGATTCGTTGTTGCCAGCCAATAGTGCAAAAGAGCGTGTAACGACAAAGCAAACGTGGTTGTTTACTATAATTCCCGCCTTGAGCGGAGATCGTTCGAGCTGTCATCATGGGATGATCACCACAGCTGTCAAGCCCGAGTGATAGCAAATAGGGGGGATGACAAGGCTGTTAACAAAAGTATATACCAACCACCATTCCGATAACCATTCCTTATATGTCCTTCCTTGCTCATGTAGGTGCAGCTAATAAAATTTGCAGCATTGTCGCCACTTCTCATGTAAATCACTTTACTAATCAATCTGGTGATAGCTCGTCCTCAAACAATAAAAAAAAAAGAGGTCGTTTCACTTGAATAATAATATCCCACAGACAAACAAAGAGCACGATTTGACACTAGATCACACTTCATATTTAATAATTACAACTCCCCCGAAAAGTTGAGAGAAATCTTCGACCGAAAATACAACATACACAACGAAACTATTACCATACGACCATACGACCATACGACCATACAACTAATATTCCTTTACCCCCCAAAGACTTATGGACCAACCTATTGCGCTTGAAATACACGCTTCAGCTCGCAGATATTACAGACAATTTTGTCAACACGGTAGGTGACGCACTCAACACACTTGCGTAACTTCTTCACCTCGTCTCACCATTCTTTGTTCTAGTTGCCCACTACCTATCATACTTCGGACACAACCTCGAGCCGTACGCCAAACAAAACCAATTTATATCTTATCTGCACTCCACCAAACCCTCCTCCTCTTTAACTACTTCTAGATTTTCATCTATATTCTCTTCCTTGTCTGCGCTTTCTCTTCCTTTTTCTTCTCTTGAGCCACCATATCCGTCAGATCTTAATACAATCGTTCATCTCAGAGGTTCTCAAAAACACGTCTGCAAAGTTTATAAACTCGTACTCAAGGGCGAAATTTATTATGTCGCATATGTCGGTCATCTATCTCGCGATTTGGCCAATGTGAAACGATTTTACTCCATGAGACCTGTCTCGCGAGAACGAAGTTTAGAACTTTATGATGATGGCAAGAAAATTTCAAATGAAGATAATGATTCACGGGCAAAAATGGAAAGCAGCATGGAAGATATGATAAAGGCTAGATTTGCAGGCCTAAAGACCGATTTAGAGTATATGGATCCGTTGAAAGAGTACCTGTGTGTTACGATGGATCGCGAAGGCGAAATTTTCGATATACATGCAGAGTTTGGTACGTTTTGGCGTTTACGCAAATATCATTTTCAAAACGCTTGGCATCTCACTATCACCTCTTCCTCCTATCAGACGATAATCCCGTGACTACTGAACCATCATTCGAGGATGTAATGACCCTTTGGGTTTCCGTCTTAATGTGGAGCGCCCAAATGGTCGTTGTCAATAAACCATACACGCAAACGGCTTCGCGGATCACTGGGAGGATTTACGCGTTAATAAAACAATCTGGGGAGGAGGAATGACGTATTAATAACGGATGGGGAGATGGATACAGGATCATCTAACTAATGAACATTGTCGATATGGCTATATTAAAAAAAATTTTTTAAATAAATTTTCCAACACGATTTGCATAATGAATACAATCGAAAATAAATTTTGCTCTCTAATGATTAGATACTGTTATCGCGTACAAACTCATTCAGTTAACAGTCGTTGATGCACTCGGGTCACCAGCGATCCTCAAAGTTGGTTTAGGAACGTTCAATAAAGGATATAAACGATCTCTTATTTCCTTTAGTTTGGATACTGGGTCACTCCTAGATAAATAAAAGATTAATATCCAAATGCTCTCTATAGATTCGAGTGAATTGTTCATTATTATAGTAGGACAAATACCAATCAATAGTTGACAAAATCTCTTCAATCTCAACCATCTCATCTGGTTCATCCTCAACTATAGTTGCCGTTAACGTTATGTACAACTGGTCCGCTGCCAGGCGACGAATCTGGAATGACGAGAATGAAGGGAAGAATTTAGCTATTATAATCACAAAGTGATTAATAGATTACTTGCACACAAACGCCTTACCTTAGGAAATGGATGAACCAGATAGCTAAGTAAATGCTGCAACGCCTTTGTACGAAGAGTTCCCCCCAAAGTTACAAATCCGCAGTAACTGAAATACAAATAAACAATCTTCAATCGACTTTGTAACTGTATTAAAGAATGCACATGCCAATACTTTACTTACACTCGCACACCAGCACTGAGTTTTCTGATATCTCGGCTCTTGGATACCTCCTTCTTCACCTTATCAAATAGCTCCTGAAAACTGTTTATTTATAACATACAGGATGCCGGTTATCTCGTTTGATCATATTTGACAACAGTGCACGCGACTCTCTGCAAGACGTCGCGCTATCCCTAACACTTACTCAAATCCACAATCAATGCCTTTCTGCAAAGCCCCAGCCTCAAACAATAAATCAATAACTTCTAACAATGGCACCACCACTCGATCCTGTTTCCCGTATACGCGGAAAACTTCAAGGAGTGCATTGGCAAAGTCCAGCAGGGATATCGAAGAGGTGTCGGTAGCAAATGGCGGAAGGGAGCTTGCGTACTTTATCAACGTTGCACTTGAATAGCGGACCTTTGTGAAACAGCAGTGAAAAAAGAAGCATTAGGCCAGTTATATTGCATGTACATAAATAAATAAAGACTTGGATAATCACAATTTACAACGAACATAAAAACAAGGGCAGCATTTACACTTTCGTAAATTTAAATCCCCAATCACTTGCAAAAAAAAAACAAAAAAACAGTAAATTTCTACAATAGAACAAGTAATTATAGACTGCATTTTTTTCGCCAAATACTCCCAACTTGCCGCCTCTCTCAAATTACAACGGGAATGCTAGCCATAAACTATGTACCAAAAAAGGAAATAATAGATCGTCTTTGTCTTGCAATCATTGGGAAAAAATACAAACCAGTGATTCTGTCATCCCTCCAGCTGCAACTACTAGGCCTGCTAAGAGATCAAATCGATATTCCGGAAGCACGAGAAGTTGTATCATTCTCGGATACAGCTCTGACGGATTTATCCAATGTATTTCTTCATCTCTAAGTGTTGAAAACATCTGTTATTTTAACGTAGTTGCGGGTTCCATCCGTCCGTTTTTGCCAATATTGATTCCAATTGACACTCCTCCTTTACGCCAATGAAACCACCTACTATCTCGCCTCCAATTACCCAGCATTTTACCTGTTCAAAACTCGTTCCAAAACGCTCCGTCCATTAATGTCCAATACCCATTCTCCAGTCATTCTCTTCTCGTACAATAAATCTATCAGAATCGTTCCTGCACACGCTCTAATCTTATCAATCCTCTCCACGCTCTGCTTCAACAACTTCTTCACTACTTGCATCGACAGATCCTTTGTCCACCATTGCGGAGACGTCGGATTGAGATCGTCGTTGCGTGTGATGAGAGGAACGTAAGTACCGAGACTTTTCATGCCGACTTCGCGGACCCAGGATCCAACGTCACCTCGTGAGTCAATACTGAAGTCTTCGAGACTGGCGAAATAAGCGTTTAAGATTTTATTGAACATGGTGTGGGTTATAGCTTATTTGCGTAGTGCAAAAAGGCAAGAATGAGATAATGATAGATTAGAATCGGGGGACATTGGCAGTTCGTTTTTGCACTTGTAACCTTATAAAGAATAAGGTCAACCGTAAACCAAACATTCTTTAGTCTATTCACCACTCTACACCCGATTCTCCCACTTACTGCTCTTAAAGTCATCTCCTAGATTCTTTGCAATATTACCCAACGCAATAATAGCATTTCGTCTAGTTTCCGCGTCATTCCAAACTTTAGTCTCTTGTACCCGCGATGATTCAATCAATGCGTCCACCACACGCTCAATTTCTTGTGGAAACTTTTTATATTCTAATACACCCAACGCGAGCGAAAAACCTCGCCTGTTATAGGCGTTCTTTGATGGATTAATACGCTCAATGTAGGTGCGCCGCGAGTCAAGGACATGGGATTGGTTAGTCTATATAATGAAAATACGCTACACATATACCTCTTCGGTAAAAAAGGATATACATCGATCTCTTCCGCATCGATTCCGTACTGTGACATAACAGCTTCGATAGCTTTAACAGCAAGTTCCTGTCCATATTCATCTTTTCTTCTTAGCAAATCATACACAACGTCCTCCCATACTACTAGTGTTTCCTTATCAATTGGCCACTTTGCTTTAGCCAAACAAGCAATTAGATGTGATGCTCCTTGGCACGTTAGTTCTGAACCAAAATCTGCGAAAAAATGTCCTGGGATATTCGATGGTATCATTGCGATTGACTTTGACGGTGAGTAAGAGGATGTATGTAGATAGATGATGTGATAAATAAATGTGGACGCGAACGCAAATATATGCACATGAGATGAATATACCTACCGTGACTAAATCTTTATGCTTATCAACCCATTCACGGTTTTCTCCATGTAGCTTTGCCCATGCCAAGCACACTTCACCAACCGCCAGTAACGCGCCGTGATGTGTTTGCAAGTCATTACATATTGCCTTTGGGATCTATTCAACGTCCAATAATCAGTCAATCTGTCATTATAACTACTTTCCTGTAAAACAGTTCATCCCTCTTACCAATGAAGGAAGAACCTTCGACACCATGTGGTCAACATCAAGAAATGTGAGGTTATGCAAGGCCTTTGATACTAGTTCGCGTATATTCTTATCCCAGTTTGAGATCGTTATTGTGACGAGATGGTTTATTAGATGATACCTGTATTCTATGTAACTAGTGGAAAGTATAGAGATAATCGATAATAGTTAGACGATTTCATAGGAAATCGATAAATGATCGAGATTATGTTAAATGGAACTTGCTTTGCGATTTTAACGCTTATTTCCAAGAAAGAGTTCACTCGATTTCCAACCGTAAAATAGTCTGCAGTCGTGATGATATCAATCCCATGCGGAAATATACCCTACAAAAGCACAAAACCAACAGTTCACTCTACCATTTTTTGCAGAAACGCGTCTCTTTGTCCTCCTCGTCACTGTTTTGAGTAAAACCTCTCACAAACCTGCCTTCCAACGTTCTCCTGAAATGCAGCGCTACTCGCTCGCCGAACATTAACTTCTCGATCAAACACAGATATCACCACAAGAGAATTGGCCAATTCCGATGCGTGGGAAGCCAGCACTTCAGGCGCATACGCCCGGGCAAATGACCAACAAACATAACACGCTGCATCACGTACATGAGAGCCAATTGAGTAGTTTCCACGACGTAGGTCAAATTTTAAAGCCTTTTTTGGTAAGAAAGTAACCATACGCGGTTAAGTTTAGCATTTGATAATTCTTGAAATTTTGCAAGTAAATAGGTCTGATCATGAATTCAAAAACTTTACCTTAATCACCCACGGAAAAACTTCATCGAGCCGTTTAGGGAGCAACAATCCTCGCCTTGCCAGTTCAGCTACTGCTAAACACGCACCATGCCATGTATTGTCAGACACGGAAGATAAGTCAAGTACATCATCTCGCATAAAAGCATTTTCAGAGAAGAGCTCTAGTAGGGACCCAACAACATCATCTGCTAGTTCTTGAGGAAGTCTATGGGTCAAACGGCCAATTCCCTTAGCAGCTGACCAACGGACTACAGTATCCTAGTTATTTGGAATTTAAAACGATATAATTCTTATCCGAAAAGAAGTACCCATATGAGTATAATTATTGAACACAGAATGTCATACCTTATTACGAAGTCCCTTAAGAAGCATTTCTATTATTTCTTCAATTTGCTCAGGAATTTCCTCATCCACGTCATCATCGATAGATATTAAATTTTGGAGAACGTTTGAAGAATCTACGCCCGCGTTCGACGCTTCGAGATTGTCTTTCAAGGATCTATTACCTTTGAGAAAAGCGAAACAAACCCTGAATTCCAACGAACGCCTTCTGCTTGGACTATTGCATATTTACCACCTGCTACCTCATTTACCTCGTTGATATCTCCAAGCTGCAACTTTCGGTCTAAGATAGCACATGCCAAATCTCTGAGACAGTTTCACGAGTAATTTTCTTACCAAAGTATTATTTGCAAAGTTCTGGTTTGTTTCAGTAAGAAATAAACACGGCCACACAGTATCGACAGTGGATAATAAGGTGGCACGATGGCCTAATTTATATATCGCACATAAAGATGTAAGTATTCCTGTAACCTGGTGCAATAAAAGAGGAGATGTAAGAATTAAAACATATTTTCTGTAGAAAAATAAAGTAAGCGGGTGCAAAACTCCTGTATATAACCTACAACAAAAACGTTTTCATAACGCTTTGCTTCTTCAGTTGCCCATTGGACATAATCTGACAAATAAGCTTTGGCTATATCACGTCTTTACGAGGTATATTATACGTAAGAAATCAAATGTACTATAGTTACAACTCATTTAATAATATAATTAACGACATCACACCTTGTTAGTAAACGTGACAAAAGTACAGCAGCTCCATCGCGTTCTTTTCCAGTTACGTTAAGATAAAACTTGGATAAAGCAACCATTTCATCGACCAGCGGGATCTGAAGTTGTGATGGAATTTTTTCACGTTTGAAATAAATTAGACGTGTTAATAAACACGTAAACCGTTTTCACCCCCTTTCCAGTTAGATTCCTGTTCGGACCTTATCACTATCGGCCACGGCTCGACTGTCGACAGTTTTTAAATCAAATGGAATCATGCAGATAAGAGATAACCAGATCAGGAGAACATATCTCATCTCCCATGCATCATAGTCGTCCGGTGAGAGAGAACTGAAGAAGCAGAAAGTCGGTTCGAGATCGGAGACTTCATGTGTGAAGAGTTTGACTTTGGTGGAGTGAAGTAAAATTTGTTAATTATTAGAACAAAAATTATGTGTGTTTCTCGTATTCCGTATCTTGTCTTTCATTTGTACATTCTCGTTGCATTCTCGTCCGTTATCTTCTCTGCCCACCAGTCCAAACTCACCAACAGTCTTATATCCCCTAATCTTCATAACATAATAGATCAACCTAAATAACCTCTTCATCGTTTTAGATACCTGAACTCGCTCTTTCCTTTCTTCTAATGATTTAGACAGATAAATATTTTCGAGCGCGAGAGATTTTATGTATGTGCGGAGAATTTCGATTACTGGCTTGACCATGTTTTCCAAGTGCGGATCTAATAGATAGGGTTGTTCTTGATAAGGATCAATCTATGGTTTAAGATAGAAAGGAGAGCAGGATGGATACAATTAGAGCAAATGAGGGAGTATTTGATGCACAGATGCAAGCGAATTTAATCGCTAAAAGTTGGAATTAATTGCATCCCAATCTTACTAAGGTTGCACTCTAAAGAGACGAGCAAACGAATTATTTACGGAATTGGTGACTCGGCTGAAAAACGCGCTTATACAACGTAATTTCAGAACTTTACAATGGCAATCTAATGTCAGACTTTGAATTACATTTCTTGTCTTTCGAATCAATTAATTATTCTCTCCCATCATTCATGCTCCAAACTATCATTTAATACCCATAAACGTACAAGTCCAATAGCTTTCTTCAACCATTTATCCTCCTGTACTTCATTATGTTCTTCGACACTAAACGCTTTCTCGGTTAAAGATTTTAACGCAACGAAGAATTCGTCGGCCTGTTCGAAATGTGACGACTGCTTAACACACGAGTCATCTTCGAAAGAATCCTTTCCTTTTTTCGCTCTCTCCAGGATATCGCGATCTTGATCCCAATGGTCGAGCACCATGGCAAAAACGGTTTATTGCCGATAATCTAATAAAGATACCTACTTACTATGGAATCTCAGTTTTGCACGTGGTCTTGTAACTGCCGGTTTCATTATTGGTCGGAGATACTGCGCATAAACTTTGCGGTCAAAAATATTGGACTAGTCTGATGTCTCTAATTTGATAGCAAGAATTTGCAATTAAAACTTCAGACTTCAAATGTTACGTTGCTTGCCGGGCAGAAAGCGGTTACGAGTCAGGGTATCGAGATTATGAAAAAAACAAAAATTAATTTTTTGACGAGCGTGTCCTATAATGACATGGTCCGTTTAAGTCAAATAGGTAGATAATGATTATTATTACACAGTAACAACTTTTGCTTTATTTTATTCAATAAAAAATGGAGTTGTAACGAATTTACACGAATAATGATTTTGTTATACGTTAACACCAATTCTGGATTCGCGTCGTTACAGATTCTGATGACATCATTGCTACAGATAAAAAACACCTTGCGATACGTATGCTCACAGAGAGGCTGAGATATCTTCCCAGTTGAGTATGTAACATTCTTCCCATCGCTAGATGTAGTTACCAATTGAATAAACTATTTAGCGCTATAAATTTAATGGCTATCTAAGCATTTCTTGGCACTGTCAATGACATCATACGTAATATATTTGATGTCGCGCGAATTACTTTACCTACTTTCATGGGGGCTATTTACGGTCATAAGGATGATGTCACCACAGCGACGGGACTGTTATTATTCATTCTTTGTTTGGCTACTCTTCTTCATGTTTGGAATTAATGATTAATTAAGCAGTTTCTAGCTAAACAATAAAATCAGGCAACATTCAAAATGTCGCACTACAGATCTTAATTAAAATATGAATAATGGCGTCTAAATAAGTACTAAACGAGTTGCAACACGTGCCAGTGTGTTAAGGGTAGAGCACGCTTTGGGCATAACATTGCTTGCTAGTGTGACTGCTAGTGTGACTGCTAGTGTGACTGCTAGTGTGTTTCTATGAAGCATTCGGACAAAATAAAAACTAATATCACTGCAGCAACTCGTCGGCTCCTCGTGTTGTTCTTTGCTCCACTTGCGCGACTAAGTTAAAGTTATTGGTATAAAACGTTTATCGTTTCTAATAAAAAACTCGTTTTGCCAAAAGAATTGACCAGAAAATTTTGTGTGGCGTTACATTCATTCCATTCGTCTGTTTATTTCTGTTTTCCAGCATGCCAGCGTTGTGCGACTAAATAAAGAAACCATATGAAATGACTCCACGTTTTTGACAAAAATAATTAGTTTTAATCAAGGCACAAGCTTTTTTTTTACTGCACAAAAACCAAGACTGAACATTTCAACCATCGTATTTCTCCGGCATAGATTCTACATACAATAAAGATGACGAATTGTCGGCCTCGCTCGTTGCTGCATATTTTTCTTTTTCTCATCGTACTGTTAGCCTGCTCATCCAACATCGCCTCGTTCTACCTTCCTGGAGTGGCTCCCACCGACTACAAAAAAAATTCTACAGTAGAACTTCTCGTGAACTCTCTCACACCTGGCATCCAACCACAGACACAACAATTAAAATCAGTGATCCCGTATGATTACTATAATGAAAAGTTTCACTTTTGTAAACCCGCCGACCTCAGCATGCAAAGTGAGAGTTTGGGAAGCATTCTGTTCGGCGACAGGATTTTCAAGTCGAGATTTGAGGTATGAAGGGTAGATATGAAGTGAGAGAATGGAGGTTGCGATTGTGGTTCTAGTTGTGTCATATTCGTATAGTTGTGACTATCCTAATATATGTCCTGAATTTGTTGTACTTGTGTTAACCAACACATACAATTTCATATCTTTTTGCAAACTGTCAGCTCAACATGCAGATCCCTGTCGATTGTAAAACTCTCTGTGACGAAGTAGTAACCATTCCCCCGGAAGATGCCAAATTTATTAACGCTCGCATTCGGGAGAACTACGTTATAAATTGGCTCATTGATGGTCTTCCGGCAGCAACCAGTATGGCAGATGGCAAGAAACTTTACTCTGGAGTTGGATTCGTTTTAGGTCAGCTAAACGGAAAACCGGAATTCAATAATCATTACGCGATTACCGTCAAGGTGCATCAACAGGAAGATAAATATAGAGTTGTGGGCGTTTTCGTTCGACCTGCAAGGTAAGATTGGATGAGGAGATATATATAATATAGGTGAAGAAGAAAAAACTGGATAGGATTAGAATGTGAAGAATGAGTAAAAGTGTCCTGTGTAATGTCCAAGACTGAAATCTTGTTGAACTGAAGAATTCTGTGCAATAGAGATTAATGTTATTATAATTTGATACATAGTCGTAAGTATTCAACGACTGGAAAGGCTGCTTGCAACGCTCCATTGCCGGCTCTCTCTCTAGACGAGGACAAGGATAATAAAGTGATTTTTACTTACGAAGTGAAATGGGAATTGGTAAGATTACTGCAGACGAGTTAAACTAATTATTGATGTACGCTGTCGACATATTTATCTGTTTTTAATATTTGTTTGATTCTCCTTTCTCTCTCTATTCCTAGGATCCACAAATTCAATGGGCGACTCGATGGGATAGCTATCTCCACGTCTTTGATCCAAAAATCCACTGGTTCAGTCTAGTCAATTCAATCGTTATCGTACTATTCCTAACTGGAATGGTAGCCATGATCTTGCTCCGTGCATTGCATAAGGATATCTCGAGATACAATCAACTCGATTCTCAGGCATGTTTGGGTTTGGCAGAGATAAAAATGCGTTGGAGGGGAAAAGGGGAGAAGAATGTGGGATTTGAGTATACTGACATTTTGGTTTTGATTCTTTAGGAGGATGTACAAGAAGATTTTGGATGGAAGTTAGTACACGGAGATGTTTTTCGACCTCCTTCCAATGTCATGCTATTATCCGTATTATTGGGCAACGGTATACAGCTATTCTGCATGACAGCAGTTACTCTCGGTGAGCGATGAAGTTATATTAAAAATTATGCCATGGTCTTGTTTATGCATTTTGTGTCTTGCTAATGAAAGAACTTTTACCATCAACGTTTGTTCGCACCTTTGTAGTTTTTGCCGTACTTGGTTTCCTTTCTCCTTCAAATAGAGGTTCGCTTGCGACGGTCATGATAATTTTCTATATGCTCTTTGCAAGTGTATCCGGATATGTTTCAGCCCGCGTATACAAGATGTTCGCCGGAAAGTCTTGGAATAAGAATATTATAATGACTGCTACGCTACTCCCAATGTAAGTACAAAGATGAATGCAATTGGTCAAGTAATATGTAATCGATGTTGTTAATGCTCTTGCTTTTGTTTATACATCAGTTTGATATTTTCCATACTATTCACCATCAACTTCTTCCTTGTGGGAGCAAATTCATCTGGCGCTGTACCTGCAACTACTATGATCGGTACTATTGTTTTGTGGTTCCTTATATCTGTTCCGTTGAGTTGCATCGGATCCTATATTGGATTCAAAAAACCAGTAAGTACGCGAGAAATTTGGCTTATTGTGATAACTATGAATACAACTTTTCGGTTTAAAATTACTATCGTAGTTAGGTTTCTCTTTCTCCCCCCAGCTCCCTCTTTTTCTTCTTCACTATCGTATTTAATGTTGTTGTCACATTCTATTTCTAACTCGTTCTACTTTAAAATCAGGCTATTGAACATCCAGTTAGAACAAATCCAATTCCGCGACAAATTCCCGATCAAGTCTTCTACCTTCGTCCTATACCTTCCATGCTTATGGGAGGTGTACTTCCATTTGGTGCGATTTTCATCGAATTGTATTTCATCATGAGCAGCATCTGGGGAAGCAAGATATATTATCTCTTTGGAATTGCATCTTTGGTGTTTGTTATTTTGACCATTACTTGTTCCGAGGTCACTATATTGCTATGCTATTTCCATCTCTGCGCTGAGGTAATTGAAATATCTGGGGGGGGGTTTGTTTTTTTTTGGGGAGTCATTGTATTGCAGAATCGAATTCCTGATGTGTTCGTCAATATTGAATAGGATTATCATTGGTCATGGAGAGCATTCTTGACGTCAGGCGCATCTGGGTTGTATATTTTCTTGTATTCGATTATGTACTATACAACCAAACTCCACATAACATCGTTCACGAGCATTGTTGTATACTTTGGATGGACTTCAGTAATGAGTTTACTGTTCTTTATACTGACGGGTGAGTACAGCGTTCGGTAGAAGCACCACATATATAAAGTTCTTTTAGTTTACGTTTACTATATCATTACGATTACGTTATGTATTCCTCTACTAACTCGTTCATATTGTTATGTCTACAGGTGCCATTGGATATTTTGCATGTTTGGTGTTTATTCGCAAGATCTTTGCGAGCATTAAAGTAGACTAGTCATCGTGTTCGACATAGAAATTATTTCCATAGAACTTATTATTGGACACTTGATGTGAGAGTGTCTCGAAATATTATGAACGGTAATAATATGTTGTGGTGAAAGTGACATTCGGATACGTTATTGGGTATGTCGTTAGATATGCAGTTTGCTGTGCATATCGTTAGTATTCTGTTAGTAGTTTATAGGTATTATTTAGTAGTTTATTCGTATGTATGTAATGTTATTTGGTGTTATGGGATGTTTATTATGTTTGGAATATGTTCTCAGTATTAGGTTAATTGAATTAAACACTTACTAAACCAGCCATTAATGCCAATTTGAGAGAACATGAAGAATTAACTCTGACATTTGCAAAAAAAAACCAACAAACTTTAGAAATAATATTTACTTTTACAGGTAGCGTTCTTAAATTTAGTTTCGTGAAATTGGTAATAACAGGTCAAATTTTTGTTACAATCGAATAAAAAACAACACTAAACATGAAATATCCGTAATAACAGGCCGTATTCGCTTTACTATTACGTGATAGTTGGCTCCATTTATTTAATCGTTAATTTAATTACAATCGCTACTATACAAAAATACTTAAACTATCAAATGCAGCCAACAACATTAATACAGCGAAAGACATTTATCAGTCACATGCGTGAAGAATGCGGCGGAAACTATAGACATAATGAGTTATCACTGGACTAATTTTGACATTCGCATAATACTTGCTTTCTTCGAAGTTTTTTTAAAATTCATTTCTAGGGACAAAAAACAATGTGTCATTTTGCGAGCGTGTTGAAAAGAAATGATATTTCTACCGGTGGAGTAGAAACGTCTTTGATAATTTGTTTGTATTCCCGTGCGGAAGAATCCGTCTATTACAACAATGTGCTAAATAAAAAATTCCTTTATATTTTGAAGTCATTAATGTGACCGGTCTGTTGTAAAGCTCAAGGAGTGGGCGTGGATGCCAGATGTAGCCGAGACGAAAGATGACTCATTCAACGATAAACTCTCAAAACTTGCAGCACCAATGCTAAAAAAGGAACCATCATCAATGGAAATACGATTAACCCGATTTTAAAAGCCAATAAAATGCTTTCGAAGAGTTTTTCAAAGTTCACAATAAATGCGTGAATTTGGAAAAGGTATTGCTGAAACTATATGGAAGTCTCGTAGTGAACTAAACAGTAAAAAGGACATTTAGAGAAACCTAGTTTACTATATGACTACAAATGCGCATTCCCGCAAATGCTCACCAGTTTTTTCTTGGATTTATATCAACTCTCTTTAAAAAGCGGTTGGAAGCTTAGAATCAGCAACAAGCGATGTTTCTCTGAAAATACCAAATAAAATTTCAAGGATGACTGTCTTCCTGTCGTTGACAATTTTGGCAACTGCATTTAAGAAGTTGAAAATCGCGCCGTAAAGGACGCGAATCATAGTGTTACGGATAAGCGAGTCACATGATAAAATTCCATGATCGACGTTTATTGTACGGCGTCGCGCATTTTCTTTGAGTGTCAGGCGCAAAAATGTTTCGATTTTTGAGCGAGAGGCTTTTGAAACCTAAAAACATAGTAATAGACCCATCTGTCCAGATTATCTTTTTCCAGTCTTCCACGTCCAATTTTTTTTTCTATTGTCCAAAATGAAAGGCACTTTTTCAAGATATACAGTATATTGGAATGCAAATTTTCCTTGCAAAGTGCTCAGAAAATTGTTTATATAGATATTTGTTTGTTGATTTTAGCAGAAACCATGTTAGAAAAATCCTGCTAGATTTTTTTGTCTTGTTTCTTATTTTTGAGAACTATAGCTTCAATATTTGCCTTTCTTTGAAAACTTTTCCCAATTCATAAGCGCAACACATGCTGTTCAATGACATTCTACAGCTTTATTATTTAGCTGCAATAATGCTTCTCTTTTGTGTGGAGTTAATTCTTTAGCAAGATCTATTATGCAAAAAATCGAAAATGGTAGAGATTTTGACACTAACCCCAGTTTTTACAATCTGTAACAGATTAACAGTAATTATAATAGGCAAGATCCGTTTGGCTATTATATACGCGGATATGATATAAAACTTACATAAATAGTTACATGTATGTACAAATCAAAATAATAATAATACAGTGCAGATGTCGTTATATCCTTCGGCATGGCCCCTCTCCATTAGAATATTATGGGTGTTCCATCACTAACATTACTGGTATTTTCAGCAACTGTGTGCAATGCTCCTGCGCTTCCAACTAAAATGTCTCGGGTCATCGACATACTTGCTATCGATTCAATGAAATTTGTCATCTATTAAAGCAATTGCTTCCTTATATTTATCCGAACTGCCGCTTAAACTCTTATATTGTCGTCTTTCCTATAAATTACAATAAATTCTGCGTTCATCTTATGAAAGAAAGTTTTATGCGCTCCCGCTTTGTTGCTCGCAATACTTCTATCTACGAGGGAAAAAACCGTGCTTTTCCATTACGTACTATACGAGAACAACAATTCAGCACTATGTGCCGGCTATCTAGATGACACGTTATTAATAATACATAAAAATAACGGTAGAGAAAAGTGATGGCATACAGACCTCACATAGGTAGCCATATTGTAACTACGATGTTACGGTACTCTTAAAATATTTGGGATATTCTCTACACGCGCGTGGATCGAAAAAGCTGTCAATTAATTGACTTTCTCATTCGATTGAATTTGAAGGAGATTCGAATATTTAACGATATTCTACCAGGTTTCATAAAAGGTTCAACATCACCCAGCTCGACTCATGTTACAGTTTCCATCATCTAATAAAGCCAGCAAGGTTAATATTAACGGAGCCTTTTTTTTTCCTGCGGATGACACATGGATTATTATTCCAGCCAATGGTAAACCAGGATTTTGTGCGGCATATAACAACAGTACACAATGATCCCAACAACCATTTCCTCCCAAGTCGTAGATTATTAACGTTAACTATAATATAAAATGGACAACTCGGATTCACCCAACGGACACTCGTCCTCTCACCATGCCGACCAGCAGACTAATAATAATTCTTATAGCTCTCGAAGGGACCGTTCTACGTCGCCTCGAAACTATCGGCCTTCGTATTCTCCCCGGCGCAGGAGCTCATCTCCAAGGGGCAATAGGAATGGACGAGAAGACAAATATAGAGAAGACAGGTATAAAGAGGAAAGGTACAGGGAAGACAAGTATAGTAAAGACGATAGATACAATGATCGGAGCCACGCCCGTGGAAATCATAGAGACGAAAGAACATACAGGGATCATCCCTCACATGGCTCTGAAAGAAGAGGACCTTTCAGAAGAACCAAACCCGTCGATCGGTATGCCAACGGAATAATCTTCTGTTCGGTTTGTTACGAATGCACGTCAACTAAACTATGAATTTACTCCTCCCTCTCACGAAACAGTGGCTCGGATAAAGAAAGACGTGACTCGACTACATTGTATGTGGGTAACCTTCCATACAATTTTCGCGAGCAAGACGTTGCCGATATGTTCGAGCGATATGGTCGTCTGCGTAAAGTAACTGTACAAATTGATCACTACACCGGTCGTAACAAAGGGTAATAATATAACGCAAAAAGTGAACGAAGAGGGGGTTTCGCTACTGTTGTTGTGAGAATGCGTACATATTTTTTTTTTGCTGAATATCGATATATTTTTTTTTTTCGCAAGGTTTGCGTTTGTTGAATTCGAAGACAGGCGAGACGCAGAAGATGCTTTCGATAAATATAACGGTTTCACTGTTGAAGGTCGCAGGCTTAAGTTGGATTGGTATTTTTGCTTCTCTCTTGAATAAGTCAACAGTTCATAAATTCATTGTGTATCTGTAATCCTGAAAGGACACAAAACGACGATTTGCATTTAGGGATATTGGACTATCAAAGAAGGATCAACACCGTCGAGACAAATATGGACCGAATGATTATGGGTAAGTAACAAGTTTTTTTTGGTCATTGCCATTATCATTAACAATTGTGATCGTCTCGTTTAACAATCTTTTCTTTTTTTAACGTGCATATAGTGGCCGATCAGCAGACCCCTGTAAGTTAAATTGTCAACTATTTTTGCGTCTTTTTTTTTTTCGAGTTTACAACGACATTGACGATACGAAACATCGTTACCTCAGACGGACGTGGTTCATCTCCCGTGCGTGGTTATAGTCCCAATTATAGGGGTGGTGCACGCACGCCCAGTCCATACCGCCGATGAATCTAATGTTAATCGAAGAGATTACTGGGGGTGTGTGAGGGAATTTAAGCGGGGGATTTATAATAGTGGAACAAATTGCGCATGGGATATTAGCACTTTGCAGCGATTATTTTCGAGAGTGGAGATTTTTATGTACGGCAGAACAGCATTTTGAAGATTTCAGAATTGCGGGACAGTGAGCACAAATGTTGTATGTACCTTTTAAATATGTTGAGCTTTGGCAAGCAGCGCACTCATTCGACGTATGATTGTATGTGGAAATGTGGAGACGGAGAGAGCTTTGGAGTAATGCCCGTGGATTATTAGATTTAAAAGCATTGATGCAAGCGATTGTGGGAAATAACTGACATAAGTGAAGCGAAGGTCGAAATGGGGATGTATTTGGCGTGGCGGCTGCTTTGACTTAGGAAGATTGAGCAGAGGGAGATAAGACTTTAGAACTGCGAGGTCTGTTATCTTTTTGTTCATATATTTCTTTATTCGTTAGCTTTTGTCATGTTATTCCTACGTTTACCGCAATTTTGTTGAGTTTTGGCTTGGTCATCGTTCCACGAATTGCTATCGTAAGGAGCAAAATTCCCGTCTCCGTCAAGCAATCTGTATTCATGTAAAATGATGTAAGCTTACTATACTCACTCAATCGAAGCCTGTTGTGTTTAATCGTAGTATTCTGTTATCACGGATCCGGTTTATGATGATAGCGGTGCAGATCATAGGGGGAAAAAAGTAGAATTTTGCGAAAATCTGGATGTGGATTTATAGAGCAAGAGAGAAGAGAATGTCTTTCCCTGACAGTTCCCCAAAAGCCGATTTGATCATAAAGATATCTTAAACCTTTGAGTTGCAAGTCGGGATACTCCAAAAACGGGCTCTGGTTTACGTAGTCTCCTCTATGAAATTGGAAGGGATGACTACCATAGCAATATCAGTGGTTATGGATTGGTCATAACTCCTTTTGAATATGTATGACCCGCAGACAGAATTCTACCTATAGTTTGTCGACTTGCTACGCAGGCAACTCTTTAAATTAACTCTATTACTAATGAATCTGAACGATATTGTATTTATCATACGGATTTGGTATTATGCCCTGCTGTATCTTGTCATCTTTGCGTTGTGCTGTCCTAAACTGGATTAAGTTAGCCTTTACGCAAGATGAAACTCGTGGTAACAACTATTTATTTAGTATCGATGTAACAGTGTATATTGAGTATGGTGAAGAAACGACCGGTAAAAGTTTGCATGATTTCCATACTGTATTTACGAGAAAAAAAATAGCTTTTCTTAATAAAATTTGTCTTTTTTAGAGATTAGTGATAGAATCAAGCCAAATTGACTCTGTTCATTACGCTATTCACAAACAAACATTATATGATGGTAATTTATGTCTGGCATGCACAAAAACCACTGAACCAACTATAAATCAAATGTAAAGCACCAAGACGTGTTGATTAGACGACTGGTAGCGAGTCTTTGGATTTGAATCATGGAGTAATACGAAGAATCGATATGATGCTTATATACAATGGATTGAATACTCTCTGTTGAGAAACGTACTGTATATGGATGCACACATATGCAAATGAATTGACAAAAGTAATACTCAAAGAGATAGTTGACAAACAGGATGCCCAGCCATTTACTCAGAAATCAGATGTATATGCATTTGGCATTATTATGTATTTAGTTGCCACTGGGAACCACCTTTTAGAGATAGGCAATTCGATCGAGATTTAGTAAGCGATATTATGGACCACCGATCCCTGATTCAGCACCAGACATTGGGGAGATGATTTTGATTCAGTGGTTGGTATGAAGACATGAAATGGTTAAATTTGATACTAAAAATATTAATATTATATAATTTAGTGGCTCAAAATTTGAATAGACTTGTAATTTTACAGTTTTATTCCAAAAGTTTGCTTCTCTTCCGATTAACTTAGATACATGATCTATATGTCAATAATGAATTTATCTGCAGAATGAAATAAAAGTTGATGCGCGAGGTTGAATCGCGGGTTGTCGGTTTAGACCACAAAAAAAAAGGCAAACGCATGCAAGGAGTTTTGCGTTCTTTATTTGTTTACACCTACGATTGAACGCTAAAGATGTACCAAACGCATGCAAGGCCACTGGTTTGACGCACCATTTTTTGTGTTAAATTGTTTATGACACCGCTCGCCTTCATAGAGTTATCGTGTGTCATATTTTATGATCATTTTGTTGTAAATATGGCAATACTTTTTAAATATACAAAACAACAGTCTTGTCCGCGTCTTTGTCAATAAGTATTTCTTGCAAGTTTTGTAAACCCATTGAGTATTAAAAACCCATGCCTTTGTAAATGTCAACTTTTGCGAAATATTATTATTATTAGTTGTTTAAGCGCTCTTACTGACAATATCAATAAATTGTGCAAGGAAATTCTTCATACGAAGACATTTGCGGGTGTTATGGGCAATACAACAAATCAATGATCGATCGTGCCAACTGGCAAGCGTAAGTTGTATTTCTACTTAGCCACTCAATGTTCGATTCCCAATAATAATAATTTGTAGACAATTAAAGATTTGGCATTTGTTACAATCGAATCCACTATTTAGATGCAAACATTCTGAATAGCTATTAAGAATCCTGTAAGATGACTGTAATGGAAAAACCATAATTACTCTTGATCTAACTATTAAAAATTACATGATTACTCCCAATCATTCAACTATTATTGTTCGGCAACGAAAGATCACTCAAGCTTCCTTTACGCAAGAATTCATTCTTTGCCTTTTTTATCTTGTGTGACTCAATCACTTTGTCCTCCTTCATTTTTAATGTCCAATTATTGGCAAGTCCATCTATCAACCTCGAGATCATGTCCGATGCTTGCCCTCTAGTCATCGAGTTAATATTAGTCTTATTTTTCCAATGCTTTATCTTATCTGCTCTCTTACGCAACCATTTTTTCTGCGACTCTGAAGCAGGCTCGCGTCTCCAAAGAGCCGTTCTCGACATAGCTCGACTTATTATCATATAACTAAAATTATTTTGCACCCAGGTGTCGCATCCGCGTATAGCATTTACTAGTGTTTCGGTTTCAAGTTTGAGCGGTTCAGTCTTTGTCCAGTGTTTCCCATCAATAGCAAATTTTTTTCGAAAGTTTGCTCTATAAATACCATCACCTCCTTTATCTATTCGTAGTGACTTTCCATCAATTAGATTAAGCACATAACTGTCTGGCCCAACGTTTACCCATGCATTCGTAGTGTGCTGAAGAAAAGATCCTACCCCAGAACAGTCACCTACAAATTCAAATGGATTATCCCATGTTGTGATTTCACATTCACTTATTGTTTGTGTATATGGAAAGTCTCGCCCTTCATTCGCCTCCGGGGTTTTGTGAATGACATCCTCGTTCATTTTCTCAATTTCAAAGACCGTTTTGTTGTTAAAGTCAGTCATTGGATCCATCCCAAACAGTGATGACACTGTTTGTATATCCGGTATCTTTCTATAAGAATCAACAAAGTCGAGCACCAAACAATCTTCTTTATTTGGAGCTAACCTCATCCCTCGGCCAATCATTTGGGTAAATAGCACTGGTGACCGAGTTGGACGTGACATTACGACACAGTCAATCTGCGGAATATCTGTACCTTCGGTAATTATACCACAGTTGACCAATACGGGAAATTCACGTCTTTTGAATCTCTCGAGAATCTCGGTGCGGATGTGACTTCGTGTATCAGAAGTTATACCGTGCGCTTCTACTCCATATTCTCTGAACATTTCGGTCAGTGCATTTACATGAGCTTTGTTTACTGCAAAGACAAGAGTTGATTTACGATCATCTGTGTATACATTTGGGATAAAAAAAAATACCATCTTGATCGCATTTATATCTCAAAAATAGCATTCGAATATACGTCGTTGACATCAGACTCACTTGCATGCGACGCGTGTATCTGAACAACCAATTGGTTTCTTGTCGGAGTATCAAGAGCTTGTGCCAACGAATTAACATCGAAATCGTTGTTTGCATTTTTTATGTTTGGCATTTCGTGTTCCGTTTTCACTGTTGTTACCCTAAACGAACATAACCATTTTTCTTTGATCATGTCTAAAAAGTCACGATGAAACGTAATCTCATCGAAGACACTGCTGAGAGCTATTCCATCAAAACGGCATAGTGTGGCAGAACACCCCCAGACAAAAACTTTACTGTCTTTGGTATCAGCCTTGAAATACTCGAGAATACGCCGGTAGCTAGCTGCCGTAGCATGGTGGGCCTTAGTGAGGAAGGTGATTAAAAAAACCACAAGTCCCATTTAAAATAAATCGGTCAAAAATATAGTGAATTTCTAAAGAATCAAGCAACCAGCTCAATTACCTCATCAATAATAATAGCTTTGAATTCGTCGGGGTTGTACTTGGCAAGTCTAAGAGTTGAAGGTCGACCTAATGTCTGCACGCTCCCAATGATAATATCACCATTACCTTTTGCTACTTTACTACCCTGATCAATCTCAACAACCAGTCCCTTGTCTGCTACATGAGAACTGATCTGTCTGTAGGCTTGATGAAGTAATTCTTGTCGATGTGCTATTACTAAAACCTTAGTGACATCCGGTTGTGGGGGTGGTATTTTCTGGATTAAATTCGAGAATATCACCGTTTTACCACTACCAACAGGAAGCGATACTGCTTGTCTACGAACGTTTTCTTTGAGTAATTTGTCCACACATGCTTGGATACATTCTTGTTGATATGGGCGAAGTTGGATGACCGGCGCTACTGTAGTGGGCGGTGGCGGCGGCTCGTTACTCGTATCGGTTTGTCGTTTTCTCCTATAATGTCGGACGCTAATCAGCACAGTTGAGCTGTGTGAAGGAAATATACCCTTAAGAAGCAGGGCTTCCCTTATTATCGCCCTTATATTGAGAAAGGCGTTATTTCTGAGCATTGAAGTTTCATTTCCTGATTAGTTCGTGTAAATGTATAAGATCTGCACTAGTCTCACGTCAGTTCACTTTCCCACCTTTTATGTTCAGTAACACAAGTATTCATTGGATGGTAATATCCAAAAAAGACCCAACGCTAAAGTAATAGTTAAGCTTCTTTGCCAATTATTCCAATTCTATCTATGCCTCTGACTTGATCCACCCCGACCACCAACTAGTTTTATAAAATCACGTTCAATTTCTGACGATGCCGTAACTCGAACCTTTCGATGACGTTTTGGAAACCATAACCTTTTACGTACATTACCAAAGTTAAGATGAGCATGGTATGGCTATTTATCCTTTGATCTTGCTTGACTGGTTTTCCATATGCCGTAATTGAACGAAATCGAATTAATTTCGCCAGAGTAAATTAACGTCGCGTTGTCAAAATCCGTTGGAATTGTCTTAAGCCACAAATAGGTTCACACTGGAACATATAACATTTTTCTCGTTCTCATACCATAAGACTGCCAAAAACGTGGACAGTGCAATTAGTATCGCGTTCTTCTCGAATTTTTGAAACGCCTTACAGAAGACATACCTACTTTGCATTTATATTCTGAAGGCCTGCACAGGCGCTTGGCTCGGATATCAAGACTTTGACCAGGGGCTAAAGATTTATTTATAATAGTAAGCTATTCTGCTATCTGTGGTAAACGTCGTAGGGATGCTGATATTTCAAATAAGATGGGTTGCAAAGAGAAATTTACCACATCTAAATTTTGGTTTTTTGCATATTTGCATAAAACAATTGCCAAATTGTCAAAAGTTTTACCAGTAAAAAAGCTTTGTCGTCCTTCTAAACAATAAGTCGGTCTCGAAGTATAAATATCATGCATTGCACTGTATTTCTGCGTTCTTTAATGTCATTTCACTTCTACTAGTCGAAGTTAAAGCTTTTTTAACTCGTTTATCAATATAGCATTGGGATTGCTGTCTTTATAAATTTGATTGGCTGTTTATTAAATCGTGATTTATGTTACATGCCATAACATATTTGTACAGTATTTGACTATACGACTAAGACTGCTTACTCCGAATTTCATTACTAGCATGCTGGAAAGAATCGAATCGTAAGTCTTCTGACCGCGCAAACAAACGCATGGCCAGTATACAAGGTCGGGAAATCTGGTACAAAGGCTAATAATAGAAAAGCTTCCGATTAATATCGCAGTTCTAGACGTCAATACTCTTTAATTATGCTGTCCAACCTCGTACCGAAATCATCGCGTGGGCATTCGATGGGCAGAGTCAAGTAATATTGATTATAAAAATGATATTTTAGTCTAATTTAGGAAAATTGAATGAAAATACGAAATACTCTACACCGATTCTTAATTAATATTCTACTAAGAATTCATACTACACGATACAAATGTTAGAGACAATGCAAATCTCAAATTAACCAAGGGATTGGTTCATAAGGGATCTACTTACAAACAAACCGCTATCCTCCCTTCGTTATTTATTATAGCCATATATTACTTTCAAAGTAATTAGTGAATTCCGCAAAATACCAATTCTCTAACGTACTAGCTCGCCACGCTACTGCAGTAAATGTTTATTCCCTAGATGATGATAGCCTTGTAAGGGTTGGCCGTCACACCAACGGTTATTACGTTTTGCAACAACGCAGGCTGTGAGCTAACAGAATTTTATAGAATATTCCTTCAAACGGTAGCACAAAGAGGCAATGATGAAAATTGTTGTTCACAATGTTGCACGAATATGAGATCCGAAACGTTCCGTTCGGTGGCTACAACTTTAGCGTATAATAACGGCTGTAAAATAAATCTTGTCCAAAGGAATGTTTGGTAATTGCTAAGGATATTAAACTAGTGGGTGGTGGCGTGAGCAAAAAGACAATTGCTTAATGGTACTTTATGATACGATGTACCTTAGGAAGGATGCAAAGAATTTACGAATCGGTGCAACATCACCAGATTTTACATTGGCGCCGTGAACGGAAATTATTCCCGAACTTTGATCTACGAAGGATAATGTGATATACAGTACGATTGTCACTAATAGCGATCAATTCGCATATTGGGCCGTCAGTCGCACCAACAATCCAATGTCCACTTGGGGTACTCATCGATTTTTGTCATTGCTGTTCACTAAAAAGGTTTTATTGCGCGGAAATTGAAATAATAATGAGCGTATACGGGATAATGAAATTTCCCAACAAAAACAATGTTGTTGTAAATGCATTAGTAGATCTGAGCCGATATTAGAATGAGGAGGGAGGGGTAAAAACCCGCTATCTGCGTAGATATCAACAAATAAATCATTACAAGCGTGTGAAGCAATCAATGCCCTGCATTGACCAAGATGCACGGGATATATGGTATGGACATGGTATGATACGGTAAATATATAAAAAAAAAGATATTTTGTAAACAACAGATAAAATAAAAGTGAGAGTCCCCGTTATGTTAAAAAGAGAATTTAACAATTTCTAATCTATAAACATAAACCTCATTTCCATTACCCTTCTTGAATTCATCTGTCAATGGACAGATCACCCAGTATTAATGCAAGGTGGTCATGAACATTATTATTATTCGCGCATTCATCATCATAAATACATCCATAATCAGGGTTTTTGTTATTGTTATCTAGGTTTAATTCATCCATATCTCCGTAGTCATTAAATTCGTGTTGATGGTTATAGGTATAATTCGTCCATTCGGCTCTTTTGTCCTCATATACAACGTCAAAGCTCTCGAAAATGGAATTAAATTCATCTGCGGTGAGGATTGGTGATGGGTCGAAAGGCAGATTCTCTGGAGGCGATGGCGGCGTTGGGGGGAAAGGCATAGAGTGGGATATTGCGTTTGATCCAAATAATGCGTTAGAGTATGATAGAGCCAGATGTGAATAATTGTCAATGTTTATTTGTTTGAGCTCGTCCTCTTCTGGTGTCAGCGGCATGTCGAACGTAGATGGTAACATTGGTGTATACGTCGAAGAAAATCTACGTGAGTAGCGGTTGTGAATATTACAGTTCGTAACGTTATATTCAGCATTATTGTTGTTGTAATTGATATTTCCACGACCAACTGTCTTCGACTCACAAATGTTGTCTCTCTGTGTGTCTGTATTCATTTCTTAATGCTGGTGGTGATATTAGGTAATGTAAACCGAGGCTTCCGTTTATGTCGAGGGTTCTCTCACTTATCTATTTTATCCGCAGCGAAAAGTTCTAAGGCTCAAACTATAAATGTGACAGAGTAACGTTTGGGAAAAAGCGTCGAGTGGTATTTATACACAGTCAGTAAGATCACGCGCAATCGTGTGTTAATATATATATGTATAAATGTAAATGTATATATGTATATATTAACAGTTGTGTTACCAGTAATATAAGTTTTTGGCATTCTTCACAAATGCCGTTAACAAAGAGGCGTACACCAGATAACATCATGTATTGGTTTGTTGAGGAAAATATGGTAAGCGTCATAGAACAGAGCAATGTTTTTGGGGAAGCCTATCTACCTGTCCAGAATGAAGACTGGAATTAGAAGAAAAGATGGTCCGATAACATATAAGGATGTACAGTACATTAATATGGGGTGCACCGGTAAGGACATAATAATCAAGGATATGAAGCATTTGTTTGGATAGATCGACAAAATACATATACACGTGACAAGATCGTTCGAACATACTTGTCATCCAATTTCGTCATCTTTGTTTACATAATTTGCTCACCCGTCAATCCGTTTCAGATCAATGTTAAGATTTCTCTTATGCTCGCTCGATCGCACAAATGACAGAACTCATCAATTTTTGTGCATAGCATAATTATATATATCGTATATTTAAATAATGGACGATGGTTAATACCTAAAATAATACTATTTTATTGTTTGCTTTATATGGAGAATACTCAACTGACTGGCACGATAATAAAAGCACGATATGCTGTAATCCATTTCTCGTATTTCTTGTTACGTACGCAGATATACTAAAGTCGAATTGATACAGAAAATGTCAACATCCTATGGAAAAGGCCCAAATTGCAATAATTGCTACCATAAAACTATAAAGGTCTTTGAGTTTAAGCATCCTTTTTCCCCCTCATCACAAGGTTGTTATGAAAGTTTATTATTATTTAAACTAATTTCCGTTTAGATGAAGATAAAAATATAGAAAGATTTACTCAACAGAAAATCGACAGAATGGCGTCATTTTAATCTTTTAAAGACAAGTGTTACGGGACGAGCTTTAATAAAAAAGATCATATCTAAATTTAGAAGCAGTAAACCGCTCCTAAAATTTTTATTTATTCTATCACAAAACTTTCGACATACCAAATTTTAGCTCTATTGTTTGTTAATAACAAGTCGAGTCTGGTAGAACACAACCACAAGTTTCAACATTTTGACAAAACTCTTTGCTTTTAATCATTTTAAGATGTCCCGCATGAATCATCATGACCGAGCGGAAGCCAAGGACAAAAAGTTTTGATAAAAAAGTATATTTTTGCTTTTGTTGTATTTGTTTGCATTTATAGAGTTAAAGCATTTAATATACGTTAATTAATACTTTTAGCCGGAATTTATGTTGTCATTAAGCTCTCGTTGTGACACAACTTGAAACAACGTTATATTTTCTTTGTATGCAAGATTGAGCATTAATTTCTGATTGGTTACAGTCGGCATAATTTCCAACAGTTACAACGTTTACGCAAAAGTAAGTCCTAATACAGAAGCCGAAACACCATGCGATGACCAAATAAGCATTTTAGAAAGCAGATGTTGGAATCTTAAAACGGGTCTAGCGGAGGCATTATTACACTGTTCTGCATTTTTGGCCTTCGTTCGTAAATAGTGTGATTCATATAACATGCTATAGAAGCAGCGCAGAAGAGCAGCTGCTGGAGACTGAAAACGAGTGAGTCTCGTTAGTAACTTTGTGTTCAAGCTTTGAGTCTGCATGTAATTAACATCCATGTTCTTAAATATATACTTGTCTTTGTTCATTTTTTACCCAAAGACTATCAATCGTAAATGGGCATTGAGACACGTAATAGTAACGGTATTTCTTGGCATTTATATTCGCTAAGTATGCCAGCAGTCGGAAGAGATTCCAACAGGCTAAAATGTAAAAGGAAGTTTGACGCAATAATAGTCTTTCGGGAGATTACTAATACTCGTGCCCAATGTATCTAGTAAGCTTATATTAATAACTAACAAACGCAGGTATCTATCTGATTTATAAGCAGACAAAGAACTATACCTATTTCCCTAATTACTGTGTACTAGAACTGGCGCTGACGATCAATTGCGTAATTTCACTCACGTGATTATTAAAAAAATCGTTTCAACAGCCATATTAATATTAATATTAATATCTAAGCTGTTCCTGAAATTCATCTCCAAGCCTTTAGAGCGGTACAGTCAATTAGCTGATAATCATAGTCGTACCTGGTGCTTTGCTTTTACAACTAAAAGTAAACAGTCAAGATGAGAAACTTTTCAAGATAAACCCACTCCATACGATTTGTGACGATTTTAACTGGACGGGTCAACGACACTACGTTTCCAAATGGAATTTATTACGACGGTCATTGGATCCATTGCGTGGAGGAAGATGACACCGTTGACAGTGTTATGTTAGACGGACGCTTTCCGCGAAGAAAAGTTATTATTATCAACAGCCGGAAGTCAGTTATGCCGGTGGGGATTCAACGAATTCCGTCGGGCAAGTGTATTTTCTCGCATGGCAGGTCAGCATCAGTTTTGCGTGTTGTGAAAAGGTTCTTGTTGTCAAATTGGGATCGTTCCCGTGAGTACGCTACATAGTGATAGCGATGATGGAAGAGGCGCAGATGACGAAACTATACCGGTGGACAAAATAATGTAAGCCTATCATTGAGATGATGCAATGACATTTTATGAATATTTGTAAGATGATATCATCAACACTGGCGATGAGAATAGTCCTAGCAGTGAAGACAACGATCCAACATACGATCGAAATGGTAACGAGTTCGACAATGATGAGATGAAAAAGAGTGAGAGTGATGGGCAAGAGTGCGGAAAGCGAAGGAATAGTGATGTAGAGAGCAAGAGTGGAGAACAAACATGGGTGTTGGTTTCAATTGGTGATAAGTGAGAATATGTTAGGAGGATGCAAAAAGTAAGTTTGAAATGAGAAATACTATGAATCTATCAATTTATTGTCTATTATGCTTTCAGTTTACAAATGAACACATGACTACATTGCGAGAATTGAACTCGAATGTCTTTCCGCGAGGGACTCGAGATATACTTTTTATACGTAATGTGGCAAATTCTCCGGTCCGTAATGTAGTAGTTAGTATTTGGACGCAAAGATGGCGAAACAGAACATAAGCCACATATTAAAAATAAGACTATTTCTTTTCGTAATGACCAAACCATTGGTCATGAAAAGGAAATTAAGAATAAGCTATACTAGACATAATAAAAATATCGACAAGTGCAAACGGCGAATTGGTTTCCGCGGTTTGTTTTATAAAGCATTCCTTTATTACATGCGTGAGGTGTGTTGCGACTATTGTCGGTATTTAAACGGTTGTTGTGGTAGTAGATGATGACTATTGATACTTTGCTAGCCGAACATCCTCGTTTGACGTAAATCTATTAACAATAACAATACTATTTGCACAATTTGCACCTGATAAATGTTATGAGATGAAATTGTAGTTTCCAGTACAAGTGGTTCTTGATATAAGAACCCTGCGATATAACAAAGATGGCCTATAAGAAAGATTTTTGCTACCCAATTTAACATCTCGTAAGAAATTTTCGATATCAAATTGTATTACATCACACAGGCATAATAATAAACAAGCGAATTTCACTGCAATAAAACTTTTGCATTTGGTATGGCAGACAGCTGGGTAAGTTTTGATTATACAATAAGCTCCTTTTCAATAATTTTTCCGCATGGAATGAATTAAGCAATGCTTTGCAACTCCTTTAATATTGTTAGGAAATTGGACAACCATTATCTTCAAATACCAAAAACAAAGGGAAAGAGAAGCAGCTTGATAATGCAGAGACTGAAGATATGTTTGAGGGAGACCTCATTGTCTTTGAAAGTGACAGTGATAATAATAATGGTGATGACTATGAAGATTATGAACAAGTGTTTACAGCACATCTGAGCAAAGTTGAATTAAATGAGCAACTATCTACAACTTTGGAATCAATTGTCAACAGTAATGACAGAGTCAGTCATTTTATTAAATTATCCAATCTGTTGCTATTATTTGGTAATAAGTTAGATGTTAATCAGTTGAGAAATGTTTTGGAAACAATTGGAATTAATGTTGCATATAATAACAATGACTATGAGGTGACTGCTGATATTAAATTGGAACTGCATCTTCGAGCATATGCATTTGCATTAGAAACATATGGCAAGCAACTTGTTAAAATGGACAAGAAGTTACTTGAAACTTTGCATGAAAATCTTACAAAAATGTATGGCTTCCATCAATGTTATGCCAAAGTCATAGAAAAAGGCTTACAAGGTCCAAGGGTTTTATTTGCTACTTTGGAGGAAAGTGTTAAAGTTCAAAATTATAACAATAATTTTTTACTTATGCATCTTTATAATACTCTTCATGTGATGGATGATGATAAGACTGTCTGGCTTGAAATTATAAACCAACTAAAGGCTCTTTTTGCTGCACTAGTTGAAGCTTTACCTGGTATGACTGGTGTTATGACAACTATGGAAACCCCAATTGACAACAAATCCACTATTGAAATCTATAATAATATTCAGAAGGCTTTACAATCTAAGTTTTCTGTGGGACATTGGTACAAGGAATGGAGGTACTTGTATACAATTTACCAAGCATTTGTTGAATGGTCAGCTGCTCCAATTCATAGAAATTTGGTTGCTAAAGGGGAATTGATGCTGATTAAGGATTTATGGAGATTTGGAGACCAAGAGTGGAATAAAGCAGTTTCAGCAAAATCAGAAACAAATGAATATAATAACAAATCTAAATTAAAAATTATGTCAGATAATATCTCAGAATCAGTTTCATACTCATTATTGTTTGGTATATTGGATATTGCTCAATGTCTGATAATGTCTACAAA